GAGCTATCTGCCTCAAGCCTCCCAAGCTACGTCCTTGGAGGTGGCATATCACCTGAACCTGAAAATGATGTCCATATAGGGTGAGCCAACGCCCAGAAGAGATATGCTAAACATAATATGATCAATAACTAAAACATTAGCATTTGATAAATGTTTAACTAATATAAACCAACATAAAGCACAACCCAATTCCATAACAGATATGTCCATGTTTCATTCCATTTTGCTTTACTTAGCAATTTCGATTTATAAACCTGGCTCAGAACCTGGCCAAACAATTCCCATGAGACTACAGCTCATGTCAGAAACCTTCCCAATATCAACAATTCAAATGAGATTATAACTCATAATAAAACACTTCCATACTTCACAATTCACATGAGATAGCAACTCATAATAAAACACTTCCATACTTCACAAATGATACACAGATTCGCTGTATCAATGGAGTCCACCCCCTATCTCCTCCCAAATAATATATGGTTTAGGAGTCCATCCCCTATCTCCTCCTAAACCGTGGAGTATATCTTCTATCTCCTCCCACACAAAACAATGTATATAAACAATTATCATATACACGATCAATCAATACACAAATTCGATCTATTATTCCAACTGCCATATTCGATGACATATTCAACCGATTAGTTTTATTTCACCTAATCATCATGCAGTGTCTACAACAATCAAGACAATCCTCCACCGATAACCCAAAGCAATCATTTCTAAACAGATAATAAATGCATCAACAGATAAATTATCAATAATTCTCAAAGGTAAGTGGTTAAGCAATCCAACTCCACCATTTATTCCCATAATTACCCAATTTCATTAAATCCAACTCAATTTCATGATTTCATAACCTTCCAAATTAATTATACAAATTAATTCATAACAACAAATTAGGGCTTTTCTCTCCCTTTCCTCAACGTTGACCCAAAGGCTCAAATATCAACAACAAACATCAATAACCACATTTTAAGACCCATACTACACAAATATGGGTCAAAAGAACAAAACCCCTCTTTATACATTTTGAAACCCTAACACCCAAAATTACTCAACTCAAACATTAAATCAAAATGGCTATAGTTCATGTCAAAGATCATAAAAATGAGTAGTTATCCCTACCTCAAAAGATGAGACCAAATGGAGATGATGAAGAATTTCCAAAGTGCTCCAAACTTCAAGATTTTCGGATCAAAAAGAGCAAGCCAAACCGCACACTTTTTACAAAGGGACAAGGGTAGAAGATCACTCAAACTAGATCAAACCTTAGAGAGAAGTTGAAATCTAGAGAGAGGAGCTCTCTAATGGAGGTTTTGAAAAGGTAGAGAGAGAGAGAGAGAGAGAGAGAGAGAGAAAATGCCGAAAAGTGATCCAAAAAGTGAAATCCCGAACTGATATAAAAATAGGTCCACTCTAGCGTAGGATTCCCCGCTCGAGCGTCAGACACAGACTTACGCTTGAGCGTCAAAAGCGCCACTCGAGCGCCGGATGCACACTTCCAGAAGTTTTGCAGTCGATGATCCCCGCTCGAGCGTGAAAGTGGACGCTCGAGCGTCCAACGACCTGCAGAACAAAATACTGAGAGATAAAAAATCACGCTCGAGCGTCAAGACACCCACTCGAGCGAAGAAGCAAAAACAAAAGGGTCCGCTCGAGTGTCAAAAGCCCCGCTCGAGCGTGGCGGACAAAATCTGGACATCAACTTTTGGTTTTCGAACACAACCAACCTGTTCCAAACCTGCCCAACACAACCCAAGACTCAAATACAAAGAGTAAAGGATAGAAATGAGAATATGACCGTAACACATCCACGGAACCGAGTCCGGAATACAATTAAACCGGAAAAGGGCAAACCGGAATCGCTATATTAAATCTCCAAAAAGCACAACAGAAGGGAACTGGATTGTCACTTTAAGCTCCTTAGCTTACTTAGATTGTCACTTTAAACACAGCAGAAGGCTTTCGCCTCTCACTTACACACAAAACAAGCTAAAACATTAATTAGATTTCTCACCTATGCATGCATATATACATATATATATATATATATATAGGGTTAGTTTGGAATATTCCTGAAACAGAGGCACATCTGGTCATATAGTTCAACAATCCAAAATCAAGAATCAGAAATCCACAATTCGAAATTTCAACCAAACCCATTCACGAAATCAGAAAAAGCCCTAAAAAATTGATTACGAAATCAACAGAAAATGAAAGAAAAAAAACATATAAAAACCCTATAGAGATCGTCAGACACGGGGATGGGAGACAACGAGAAAGAGATACAAATAGACAGACAGGGAGGGAGAGAGACGAGAGAGAAATACCTGTAATCAGTGGTGGGCCGGTTTGCAGTGGTCGTGGTGGCAAGCGCCAATGGGCAACGATGGTGATGATCGGCAATGGTGAGCGGTAGTGAGGTTTGGTATCGACTACTCTGTATGTTGGTGTGTGAGACAAAACAGAACAAAAATGTGTCTGTGTAATATATATATTGGGCGCCAATATTAATAAGTTTACCTCTAAAAAAATTTCGAAGCTTTAGCGACTAAATGATTATTTGTTGCCAAATATCCTTAACAGCGACTAAAATTGGTCGCCAAAAGCATCCTATTGGGCTACTAATTTCAAATTTTCATCAGCAATGTTTAATATACAACGACTAACTTAGTTGTGGTCGCCAAAAATTCATCAAAATACGCCCATTTTTTTGTCGCAAAATGCTATTATACGGCGACTAAATGAAATTTTAGTAGCGTAAAATGGCTGCAAACAGAAACTAAAACTAAGTTTGGTCGCCAATAAGACTATATGGCGACTAAAATAATTTAGTAGCTAAAAAGATTAAACGAGTGCCGACTAAATGAGGTTTTTAGTTGCCCAATATGCTGTTTTTGGTGACTAAAATTGTTTTGGTCACCAATTTTAGTCGCCAAATGTGTACTTTGTTGTAGTGTAACATGCAATCAACATCATTTGAGGTAACGAAAGTGTTATATTTTAGGAAAAATTAATAAAACATCCCTCTCTAATTTTGTATAGTAGGAGAGTTCCAAGATGTTTTTTTATTATTAAATAAGGTCCCTCAATATTTTCACAAATAAAATTTGATTCAGAGAAATTTTGCCTAACTCAGAGAAATTTCAGTCCCGATTTAGAGAAATTTCAATTTTCACAGGGAAATTTTGACATTTCTCTGTAAAATCAGAGAAATTTCTTTGAGTCGGGACCAAATTTCTCTATCTGGGGTATAAGTTCTCTGAGTCGAATTTTCTCTGTGAAAATGTTGAGGAACCTTAACTACTATAAAAATATTATATATTATTTATCTTATAAAATTTTAATATCAGGGATATTTAAAAAAAATTCCCTACATTTTAACGGTCTCAAACATTAAAAAATAAAAAATAAAAAATATTTCATTCCATGAGAAAGTAGTCCTTCATCCGAAGTGTTGATAAAATAATAAAATAAAAAATCTATTCCCAAAGAATCTTTATATTATAATGTGTTAAATAAATAAAATTATAATAAATATTAAATATAATGATAATATCACTCGGTGATATTGTCATCCAATAAATAATATCATTTACTAGAGATCAAAATATTTCTGGGTTAGAAAGAGACAAGATTTACCCAAATAATTTTATTCATAATTTTTATTAATTGATAATACCATATAAAATGGTGTAGCTATTAAATTAAAATTCATCATAAAATTCATCACTATTCTATCCATAGAATTGATCATAGAATCAACACACTATTCTTTCCATAAAATTGATCGTAGAGTTGATGCAACCAAATTCAAATTAATGTTCATTCAATTTAAAATCGACCATTGCTTTTACATGACCTGATTTTCCACTTTGGAAATTTAAAAAGTTTGCCTATAAAATAATATATATACTATTATAATCATTGTTATCACCACCATCAATAATGCACCAAATTTGATTTACATGTGATACAATTAGAGTGATTAAACTCCTTCAACTAAAGCAGTTATAACAAATGAGAAAATAAATCTAATATGATATATAAATATGATCATTGTAACATTACTCAATTTAAGCAAGTGTTCCACAACATGATTATTAGCCTTGACAAGTGATCCACAACATTTCAGTCCAATCAATCTACCAAGGTATTGAATCCATTTATTTATTTGTTTTTAAATAGGAAAAAACCAATTATTAATGTTAGATTAGTTGTTGAGGAGAGTTGAATCCCCAATTTCTTCCTTTCAAGCACCTAAATGCTGTTTCTATATCACTACGAATCCATTATTGAATTAGCCGATTAGATCAAGAAAGGAAATCCTTTCCCTGGTTCTCGCAATTGTAAAAGATCGAATTTGAATGAAAGCATTGTTAAGCCATTGACAGAAAAAATAAAATAAAATAATTTGGTGCCTCGCAAGTTGGCGGTGGAATTGGTCTATTAAGATTAGTTGAGGTACGCATAAATTAGTCTGGACATCACGTTATAAAAAATAAATAAATAAATAAAATAAAATAAAAACAGCCATTGACAGACCACAGTCACTTGGGGGCTCTAGGAGATGGAGAAATTCAATAGTGAGAAATTAGAATACGAGGGAAGACGACTTCTCTGTTATGATTTTTAACTATGTGGGTTTGTTCATGGTGAGATGGAGAAGATGAAACAGTCATTTCGTTGGGTTTAAATCGCTAGGTATTTTTTGAATACAAATTTGAATAGAGATGAGTTTAATAGACAAGACATACAGAAAAATGTAATCATGTTCAAAATTAGAACAACAATAGACCATACTTTGTAAAGTACAGCAAAATAATATAAAATCACATAAGAAATCCAAAAGAAAGTACAACTCCCTCCTCTGTCCTCAGGACAACGCATGTATATCATGTATGAGGAACTTTATTACACACTACATAGAACATAATAGAGTCTAATTTGATGGAGGGGGTGAGAAGAAAGGAATAGTAGGCATTGTTGTTGGGATGGTTGGGATTGAAGGCATCGTGGTCCGGATTGTGGGCAGTGAAGTAGCCGGCAGTGGTGGCAGAGTCAATGTAGGAAGAGTAGGCATGGTTGGCAGTGTTGGATTGGGCAAAGTTGACGGAATTTGGGTGCTTGGCAGTGGTGGCAGTGTGGGCATTGGCAAGCTTGGGATTGTTGGCATTGTGGGCAAAGGCATACTTGGCAATGGTGGCAATGTGACTTTAGGCAGAGATGGAATTGTAGGCATTGTTTGCAGTAGGTTGCGAGCTGCCAAACTCATCTGGATGCTTGAAAGTGAAAGCATCAAAACCAGAGATAGAACAAAACTAGTATGAAAAGCAGCCATTGCTTTTGAGGATCCTGGAAAGTTGGTTTATGGAGCTGAATGATATTGTATTGTACTTGAAGATGTACTTTTTGGATTGAAGAGAATGACATCAATTGGTAGGTATTTATAGAGAAGAAATGCTAAAATTGTCAACATGTTTGGAAAGTACAATGTGAGTTTGATGAGATGTGGTTGGGCGAAATGTTGTCAAACACTCAGTTTGTTCACCTACAACAAATGCAAATGCCGAGTAACCCAAAAACATGACTCATAGCTTATTTGCAGATGTGACTGATGCCAACCATGGTAAAGATATTGCTGCCACTTTTTTATTACAATTTCAAGTAGAGAATGTCGCGAAATATTTTGGTAAGTCTAAGGTCGAATCTAAAGACCAATATATTCGAACCAATAACCGAGCAACCAAATAAAATAAAGAAAATTATTTTTGATTTTCGAAAAGTTGAAGATTTAGAAAAAAAAAAATAATAATTAGTTGAAAACAGGGCTAAGACATTAAGGATCCTCCATCAATACTTTTTTTAAAAAATATTTCATATTCAATTTATATAACTCAATTGAGACATACACAAAGCGTATTCCCAATTGGAATATAAAAAGATTGATTATTTTGATTGATTGATTACGTAAAATTTTCTAGAGTGCCTATAATAGAATAACAAAAACTTTAAATTATAAAAACTTTTATTGTGTACTCAATTCTATTGTGTCTAGAGTGTCTATAATAGAATAACAAAAACTATAATAGAATAACAAAAACTTCTATTGTGTCTAGAGTGTCTATAATAGAATAACAAAAACTTTTCTCAAATAAATAAATTAGTTAATCAAAATAATCTAACATTGAAAACCATGATTAAATTATAAAATTATTTAGAAAGTAATCATTTGAACTTCACCTCTAGCCTTAAAAATAAAAGATTATTTAGAACATAAAAATAAGATAAAACAAAATGTACTCAATTCTGTTTTTTGAAATGAATGCCCCCTCCCTTTCACCCCCTCTCTTTCACCCAATTAAACTAGATGGACTGGAGGGGAATGGAGGGCATTGTTGGGCCCGTAGGGCTTATCACAATTCTTATTTCGATAGTAAGAATTGTTTATTTTGTCAAACACTTCATATATTTTACAACCCAAACAACTCCTTATTACATATTTTTTGTAATAAATGTTATATATCTTCTTACAGTAAATGTAACTTGGTAGTGTTTCAATAATTTATGATTTCTGGAAGTAAAAAAATTGTACATTATAATAATTTATGATATAATTATATATTTTTATGATAATATTATCCTTTTTTCATCGAAATGTTACAAATTGTTATAGCATGCACTAATACCAAATGGCACCCTACGAACACCTTAAAAAACAAAAAACAAAAAAACAAAAAACAAAAAATAAAATAAAATTCACATACATGAATTATTAATGTTTATAAAATTTATTATTAATCTGTAATTAATTTTAAAGAATTACACTAAATTGTATTTTTCCTAAAAAAATTCCACATCGACGTTTCAGGCAATTCGAATTAAACTTGCAATGATGTCATGTGTCCTGCTTCAGCCAAATGTTAATTGTTGGCAAAGTTCTATGATTCCATGTGTCCTGTTTCATAAATATTTGATACTTTGATGGAGGAAGTTACTTAGTAATGTTGAATTATTATTATGTTGTATCTTAATTTAAGTGTGATTGATTATAACTTTTGTGTTGAAATATTAAAAAAAAATAATGTGAGAATGACAGGTGATAATTTATGTAGAACAATGCCGAATAGCATTGAATAAATTGCCACTTCGATGGGTGCCAAGTTAGGTGCAAAACTCAGGTCCCTCTGTGCATAATCAACAGATTTTGGGTTCAGTAGCTCCAAAATTTTTACACTTACAATTCATATTAGGCTTCATTTGCGACTGAACATTCATTTGCCGAAGATAGTTGTAATTTTAATTTATTGTTGAAATGGAAGATAGTTTTCAGGCATACACTTTTTTTTTTACCCTGTCCTATTCTTGTAACTATAAGCAGGTGAATTCCCTTCAATTTATATTGAGGTAAATTATAAATACACTCACTGAGATTTGCATAAAATACGAATTGCTCCCTATGGTTTAAAAAATTACAAGTATCTCCCTGTCAGAATTTTTCATTTAACAGAATTAATTAAAAAAGTAAAATTTCTAAATGTTCACCTATACAATAATAAAATTATCTAAATTATTAATTAAAATAAATTTTTAACATTATTAAAATCTGTTAATTAACTTGATGATTTATTAATAAAAAAAACTTGTTTGTTATGAAATTAGAAATCTTAGAGGGTATAATGTAATTTCTAGAACCACAGGGGGTTTTGTAATTTAAGTATATCTCAGGAGGTGTGTTTGTAATTTATCCTTTATAATCTGGACTAGATGGGGCTCTTTGCGCCTATGGGGCCACCATAGGTCTCGTTTCGATAATCCGAACTGTTCAATTTCTTAGGCATTTCGTGTAAATCATCCACATAGAAGATAAGTAATCCGATATTCATAGCCTATTCAATTTATCACGTTTGAAAAAAGAAGAAGAAAAAAGCAGCCTTGAAATCAATGTCGAAGAGCAAAGAGGAAAGGAGATAACTTTTCATAATAAAATGAACAGCAATACAGAACACTATCTGACTCAATAAAATGATACAAAATGACTCTCACAAATCCAGAAAAACAAAGACAACAACACACATGACATGACGAGAACCCTCTCAAACTGCCAAAGGCCATAAAAATCATTATTCTCTATACTCTACAAAACCAGAAAGATGAATAAAATGGTAGTACTTTGGGGGATCTAGTTTGATGGAGGAGGTGAGAAGAAAGGAATAGTAGGCATTGTTGTTAGGATTGTTGGGATTGCTGGAATTGTGGGCAATAGAGGCAACGTTGTAGGCAGAGATGGGATTGTGGGTAATGTTTGGAGTAGGTTGCGAGCTGCCAAGCTCATATGGATGCTTGAAAGAGATAGCACTACAACCAGAGATAGAACCAAACTACATTAGAGAGAAGCCATTGTTTAATAGGACTTAGATTAGTAGTACTCTAAATGTTGGTTGATATTGTACTTCAGGTGTTTTTCTCAGTTGAAGAAAACATTATTGATGGTGGATATTTATAGAGAATGAATGTTTAAAAAATATGAGTTTGATGAGTACGGTTCAGCGAAATGCCAATAAACACTAGTTTGTTCATCTCCAAACTTTGACACATTGCAAATTCAAATGTCAATCAAGCCACCACCAACACCAACCCAAACTTAGTTGGTAATTGTTATGAAAGTAGAGAGACTGTATGTTGAATTGAATAATGAAATACAAGTAGCCTATATTTATAGGCTGGGAAAAAACTTAGATAAGTATAGAAAAGAAGATAGAGATACATCAAAGATAAGTATAGAAAAGAAGATGAGATACATCTACAATATAGATAGATAAATATAAAATAATAATATATATCTGACACCCCCCCCTCCCCCTCAAGCTTAAGGTGATAAGTCAGATATCAACTTGAGCTTGGAGGGGAGATTAGAGAAGCGTCCAGGAAGATGGGCTTTGGTGAAGAGGTCAGTGGTCTGATCAGCAGAGGTAACAAAGAGATGATGAACATGGCCACTAGTAACATGCTGTTGTATGAAGTGACAATCGATCTCAATATGCTTGGTGCGATCATGGAAGACATCGTTAGGTGCAATCTAAATAGCACTTTGATTGTCATAATAAAGATTGGTGGCAACAAAATGAGAAACACCCATGTCAAAAAGAAGCCAACGAAGCCACACAAGCTCCTGAGTAGTGTCAGCAAGAGCACGATACTCAACCTTGGTACTATAACGAGCAAGAACGGTTTTCTTCTTGCTACTCCAGGAAATGAGAGAGTTGCCCAAGAAGAAGCAGAACTCAGTAGTGGAACGATGATCAGTAGGATCCCCTGCCCAATCAGCACCAGATGCAACTGTAGAGAAGAGTGAAGGGAGTAGTGATGACCATGAAACAGAATTCCTTTGAAATAACGCAAAATGCGAACCAGAGTAGCATAGTGTGGACAGCGAGAAGCAGTCATAAATTGACTGACAATGTGAGCAACATAAGCAATATCTAGACGAGTAATTGTGAGATAAACAAGACTACCAACTAGCTGACGATATAAAGTGGCATCAAACAATAGGGGGCCGTCAAGAGGTGTAAGACGAGTCTGAGTATCAACTAGAGTAATAATAGTCTTGCAATCGGTTAGGCTAGCACGAGCCAAGAGATCAGAAGTATACTTAGCCTGGGTAAGAAAATAACCAGAGGGATCTTGAGAAATTTCTAAGCCAAGGAAGTAGCTAAGTAAACCCAAATCTTTCATCTTAAACTGGCGATGGAGAAACTGTTTGAGACTAGAAATACCTACTGTGTCATCTCTAGTGATAATCATATCATCCACACAGAGGAGAAGAAGAATAGTATCGCGCTTCGTCTTACGGATAAACAAAGCAGAATCAGGGGCACTAGAAGAAAAACCAAAGTCACGAATGATAGAGCTGAACTTGGCAAACCAGGCACGCGGAGCTTGTTTCAAACCATACAAAGCACGGCAGAGTTTGTAAATGTTGTTTGATAGAACAGGAGAACTAGGAGGGGGTTGCATATACACTTCCTTCGTGAGATCACCATTGAGAAATGTATTCTTAACATCCATCTTATAAAAACTCCAGTGGTGAGCAACAGCAATGACAAGTAAGCTATGAACTGGAGTAAGACGGGCAACAAGAGAAAATGTTTTCTCATAGTTAATCCTATATTCTTGACTAAATCCTCGGGCGACAAGGAGAGCTTTGTAACGCTAAATGAAACCATCAGAATGAGTTTTGATCTTGTAAACCCATTGCAAGTAACAGTACACTTTCCAGGAGGAAGATCAACCACATCCCAGGTATGAGTTTGATAGAAAGCCTACAGTT